AACCATATATTCACCTTGATTACCCCATAGAATTGCTGTTATTGTCATTTGATTCATTGTTAATGTACCAGTTTTATCTGTAGCAATTATCTAGTAGAAAAAAACAAAATTAATTAATCATATTCGGACATATAGTTAGATCACTTACAGAGACATTATTAAATGTTTCAACTGTCGCTAAACTTTTAACAAGTACTTTTTGTTTATACATTCTTTTAGCAACAATAGTTAATACAAGAGTCACTGCAGCTGGTAAACCTTCAGGAATAAAAGCAACAACCATTCCAATTGAATTTGTTATATTACCTAGAAGAGAAATAAATAAAAAGATTTCAGTTTGAATTTGAATTTATTATTATATTAACCATTTAAAGTAATATATCCTTTTTGACTATTATTAAGCCAAGCACCCCATGTGATCCAAATAAGAATAACTGAAGTAAGTGCAGCACAAACAACAAATACGACAAAACGATTAATTTCTCGATGAAGACCAGTTACATCTGAACTACCTGTACCTCGTGTTAATTTTCCAACCTGTCCAAGAACAGTAGCATCACCAATATTAACAACAATTGCATTTGCAGTACCTTGCACAACAAGTGATGGATAAAATATAAGATTTGATGATTCCATAAAATTAAGATTTGTACATTTAACTGTACAATTAACAGGTTCAGATTCTCCAGTTAATTCAGATGAATTGACTTGAAGACCATCACATGTAATTAATCGACAATCTGCTGGAACTTTTTGCCCCATATTAATACGAACCATATCACCAGGTAAAAGTTCTTCCGTATTTATTTGCATTTCAAGACCATTTCGTTTGACTGTTGTTATTGTTGATTGAATATGAGAGAATGAATCAACAATTTTCATTGATTTAACTTCTTGATAGAAATTAAATACACCATTAGAAATAATAACAAGAATAAGAACAATTGCTAAACCTAAATTAGTCACATCAGGATTTGGATCACCAAATGGTTTCTATTAATAAAAAAAAAGTTAGTTTTCTTTTCATGAAAATCTAATAAAAACTTACATAACTAAGAAAAGCAAATATCGTAGCAACCCAAAGGATCCAATTGAAACCGATAAGAATTTGTTTGAAAAACATCCATATAATACTTGGTTTTGGTGGTGGTGTTAATTTATTTTGTCCATATTTAGCACGATGTTGTTGAATTGTATCATCTGTTAAACCATTTTGTATATTACTTTCAAATCTTTCTGCAAGAGTTTCAATTGATACAATATGTACATCTGTTTTTAATAATGATGTATCTCCGTCAAAATCAAGTATTGAATCTGCTGCACTAGGACGATGAGTTGATGGTTTGCCCTTGACAGTTACTGATGGTACTACTTCAATACCTTTATCATCATCAACAGGTACTGTTATATGATCAGATCGTTGATTAGAAGCAACGATTGATTGTTGACGACGTGCAGTTAATTCTGATCTACGTCGATTTTGTTCAAGTTGAAGATCTAAACTTTGTGACATTGTTTGCCAAGCAACTGAATTTCGTCTCATGTTATTAACTAAATTTTCTTCTGGTTCAACAATGCCGATTGAACGACGAATTGTATTAAGACTACTTTGTCGACGTTCAGGAGTTTGCGATGGTAAAATCGACGATTTCTTCCGGCTTATTTGTTGTCGAGTTGGAAGTGCTGGGAGCAAATCCATTCGACTCGCCGTAGATGAAATTGTTTTCAATTCGATTCCAGACATATTCAAGGATTAAATATATTGAGAAATGAAAGACTCAATACACCCCAATACTTGATAAAAACACGCGATAATTACACAAAATACGTGAGTCAAAGAATATCATGAACAATGAATGTACATTGATTGCTTATATATTCTTTTTTTCGATCGTTCTGTAATAGCGTCATTCATATACAGCGTTACATCTCATTGCACACACTATCATTATACATCGAAGAGTCAACGCCTTTTCTTTCTCTTTACTCACTTATGAAATTACATGAAAAAAAACGAATAGATAAACATAATATTTACTAGAATACTTGATATGCTCACGTCATTTAATCGGTGTTGTCGCCTTATCTGATTTTTGTAAAAATATTCTGCTGTTTTGATTAAATTTGTAATTATTCAAGTCAAATTTATTCTTAAATATGACACGACATATTCTTGTTTATATCTAACAAAGTTTCGTTATTTTATTTTATTTCAAAACAACTACTTTTTTACTGATTAACAAAAATTTCTAATCCGTTGTTTATCAATATGTTAACATGAATATCACCATTACTTTTATACAAATTAATTTCGAATGATCAAATTTTGAAAATACAATAAAAAAAAAGTTGTTAATATTAATTTATACTGAAGAATCATTGAGATGATCAAATAAATAAAATAAACTAAAACAAAAATGTATTATTCATTGAAAAGAATAAAACAAGATTTTTTATTAAATTCTATTGAATATTTATTGAATTATCGAAATAAAACGATAAATTAATAAGATAATATATTAAAACTGAGAATATAACAATAACACT